CACAAGCCCAGGGCAGCCCAGCAGAGCACACACCCCCTTCACTCTTTAATCTGAGCTCACTACAAAGGAAACTAAAACTTTCTGATTTCCTGCCACTGCCTCAGCAAACAACCAGGAAGTCCCAGCCACAACATCAACTAAAACAGCCTGCTCATGCACAAGAAGTGCTAGACAAGAGCACCTCCTGGAGGAGATTCCCTTTGGGCACACACCTGGGCTTCCCTCACTGCACAGTAAAGGAGCTGCAGAACTCAGAGCTTCGGAGGAGTCATCGCTGATCTATTTCAGTGTGTCACAGCTTACTCATACAAGCTGTTCATCTGCTTGAACACCCTGCAAGCATGACTCCTGCTGACTGTAAAAGCTAGCAAACCCACTAATCACATATGAACTAAAGCCAGTAGGGAGATTAAGCAAAGTAAAGTTAAGACACTTTACCCTTGTTTTTCCTTTTCTTCCCAGACCTTACTGAACAATAGGAAACAACCCAGATATTGTGATATTTTAACCTTACTCACAGACAGCATTCAAGCTTCAGGCTTACCAAAGTGGCACTCAGACCTAAGAATAAATGAAAATGTTCACTCAGCTACCAGAGCCTACAAAAACTGCCTGAAAAAATAGATTTAAAAAGGAAAAAAAAAAAAAACAAACCTACAAAAACTGAAATGTTTACTGATGAAATTAAATTACTTTTATTTTATTTTAAGGATATTGTTACAAAGAGCTCCCACTTCGTTACACTCTTCAATGAATACTTGCTCTGTCAAGGAAATCCTTCAGTCCAAAGAAAGTTCACATCACTGAGCCTCCAAACCAGGCAAATCCCATCTGTGAAGGTGCACAGGACACTGTGTGACCAAGATACCAACCAGACACATTCTGCAATGATCCAACTTACTCATTCATGGCTGGTAAAGCAGGCTGTGTGTTTTCCTTAAGCCTTCCATCCAGAAAACACAACAAGAGGCAGAACAAACTGCATCACATGAGTCAGTAGAAATGGATTTGCCTTTCCTTGAGAAGCTGTGTGGGCAAAAAAAAAAAAAAAAAAAAAAAAAGGCATGTTCTTCCTTCTTCCAAGGAACATTCTTGGTAAGAAATCACATGAATAGCAGCTTGGATTTCAAGAGCACTTTCTAGGATCGGCAACCTCAGAACCCACAAGATAGGCCAGAACTGCCACCACATTTTACAGATGTGAAGAGGAAAAAAACCAAACACAACAAGCAAAGACATTAGTTGCCTCAAACTCCCCAGGGAGGTCAAGGTCTGACCCTGATAGGGATGTAGGAATTCCTGTATGTGACTCTGTAGCTTCCCTACAAGCTCAGGAGCACAAGAAGCCCTTTGCCAGTCACTGCTGTTGTTCTGAAGGCTCCCTGCCCTCGTGATTCGAGCCATTTGATTTAAAAAGCAAGAGGCTTCTGTCCCAGCTGGTGCTCCCAAAGCAGCACACCAGCTCCATGGTGCAGTCCCTCGTTAAGATCTGCGTGATCCTCTCTGCCATATCCCCATTGATGGCAAGAGATCGGAAGTGATCAAAGTCGTTCCTGCCCAGCTTCCGCAGGCGGCGGGCAGCTGCTCTGTAGCACTTCCAGGGCTGGGGTTCAATCAGCAAGTACCTGCACTGAGAGGACAGGAAGGCCAGGAACTCCACCAGGCCCCTGTCCCCATGGTTCAGGTGGATCCACATGGTCACAGACATGCAAAAGCTGATGTCAAAGGTAGAACGGCCAAAACGGCTCAGGTAGGAGCTGAGAAAAGGCTCTCTGGAGCTGGAGTCCATGATGTCCAAGTTGGCAAAGGATATGGAGTTAGGGAAGGGGCTGCTCTGCTGAGCCCTCTCAATGAGCACCGGATCAATGTCACAGCACAGAAGGTGCAGATCCCTCCCATCTGCAGGCTGCTCTGGGCTGCCTTTGCCCTCCTGAAGGCCGAGCAGATGTCGGTACAGAGCCACACTCAGCTCCTGCAGAAAGGAAAACAACAGGAGTTCACAGGGCCCGCACTGCTTCCTCAGCACATCACCAAGCACACGGATCCCACTCTCAGCAGCAAGGTCCACGCACCACCACAGAGCTTTCTCTCGATGCAGTTCAGAACAACGAGCTCGCTGACATCTTCCCTTCTGAACTGAAAAGCACTGCAGCAGCCCTGACTACCAGAGAGGCAGTCAGAAATAGGACTAAACCCACATCACCCCTCAGGTGGTGTTTGCAGGAAGAAAACCTGAGTAAGATGAATGGGTTTTACTAACAAGAATCACGCTGAATGTCCCCAACCGTCGTCAAGGTGAAGACTTCACTGGCTTCCCCAGGTGACCTCAGGACTTCCTGGCAAGACCTAGGCTGCTTATGTTTGAAGTAACACATTTCCTCCTTTTCTGCTAAAGGAAAAGATATTTCCTGACCATCACACAGCAGTATAACAAAGTTAAGGAGAGCTGAGCTTCCTTTGAATTTCCTTTCGTAGAGGTGCGCCACTCAGCGGCAACCAAATTTGTTTCTCATTAGAGGAGATCTGATGAAGCTCCTGAATGACAGCAAGGGAAACTGTAACAGCACCGAGCTCACACAAGCAGGCAGGCAGTGTCCTCTAGTGGTGCAAGCCTGCATTTCAAAAGAACCACACAACATTTTTACCTGACCTATTCTACAAGTTCAGCTGAAACGGGACCTGGAATCGTCCTTTGTCAGTGCAGACTTCTAAGGCATTTAACAGAAGGCTGGGGAAAGGAGCCAAAGAAACAACAGCACTCACATCCTCAGCCAGAATGACTTTTCCCCCTGAATAATTATTTTTAAGTTAACGCAAAGATAAAACTTTCATCTGGAAAAAAAAAATAACAGTTATATTAAGCCTTGCACTAGTGTGCATCTCAATTACAACATAGCAAAGCTGCACGACAAGGAAAAGCCAGGAGAATAAAAGCAGTACAAGGAACAGAAAGACAACAGACTCCCAGAAGAAGGGAAATTCCGTGAGATTCACCAGTTTGGTTGCAAAAATCTTCAAGAATGTGTGAGCAGGATGTTGATTTGAAGTCCTGTCTGAGCAATAACTGAGGTGCTACTGCTAAACTCATACCAGATCATGGTTTCCAGTTTCAGATCTGGCAGGTTCCCTGCCTTTTTGGTGCTGAGGACGCCCAGCAACCCAGGGCTCTACATGTCCAGCACTTGGTGGGAAGGAGGACAGACTGAGCACAGCCTCCAGACCACTTCTCAGCCTCAGTATTTAGGCATGGGCAGCTCCACCCTTACCTTCACCGTTCTCTCACAGGAGATTTGAGGAGGTGGCTTCCCATACTGCAGTGGTCTGTGACTCCCACCCCAGGTTGATGCCCCACATCCCCCAGCCCTCCCAGGCTGTTTCATTCTCCACCATCTCCCTGGGTTACTGTTCCCACAGCCTTCTCCACTGCCCTCACCACTCCAGGCCACTACACCCCTCTGTTTGCTCAGTCTGCTCCATTCCTCCCCAGAATTCCACAGCAGTGCCTCCTCCATTCCTTCCTCCCATACCCCCAATCAGAGATTATTCCAGTTTCCCCAGTCTGTCCCACTCTACCCCAGGCTCCTGCCTCCCCTAATCTCCTCCATTTCTGGACTAACACGAGTCACTGCTTTCCCAGACCCCCCAACTTCCTCTACTGTCCCCCAGCACCTGAGAGCACTGTCCCCCTTAAACTTTTCCACTACTCCCAATGCCCCAGATCATTATCTTCCCTCCCAGTCTTTGCCACAACACCCCAATATCCCAGATAACTGTCTCCCTGCTAATTTTTCACTCAGCTACCCCGAGCTTTAGCCCACTCTCCTAATCTTCCCCTCTGTCCTCCTATACCCCAGAACACTGCCTTCCTGTTCATCTTCCCCACTGCCCCAACACTCCACACCAATCTCCCCATTATCTCAGACCATTACCCATCTTAATATTTCTTCGCTGTCCCCCAATAGTCAGCACCCCAGACCACTCTCACCCCTAATTTTTCCCACTGACTCTTAATGCTCCAGATCTCTGCTTCCCCCTGATCTTTTCCCCTGCTCCCCATATTCAAGACCTCTGTCTCCCCTCTATTTTCTCCTACTGCCCCCCCGTACTCCAGGCCATTCCTAACCTTTCACACTGTTCCCCCCAAGCCTTCCCACTGCTCCCTAAACCAGAGGCCACTGTCTTCCCATGAATCTCCCACCATCCCCTAATGCTCCAGATCACAGCCCCCCCCCAGTCTTTCTCCCCTTCCTCCCATATTCTAGACCACTGCCTTCCCATTGATGTTTCCCACTGCCTGCCAGTACCCCCAAACCAATCTTCCCCACTGTCTTCCAATGCCCCAGGCCACTCTCACCCCTGCTCCTCAAACACCCCACATCACTGTCTCCCCTTACACTTCCCCATTGCCTCCCATATCCTAGACCACTCTCCCCCAGTCTTTTCTACTGCCCTCCAATACCCCAGCCCACTGCCTCCCCTCTAACTTTTCACTTTCCCCCAATGCCCCAGATCACTTCTTCTCCCAGTCTTTCTCCCAGACCCCCATACTAAAGACCGCTGTCTCCCCTTATTATTTCCTACTGCCGCCCAGTACTCCAGGCCACCCTCACCCAATCCTTCCCACTGTTCCCCCCAAGCTTTCTGACTGCTCTCTGTATCACAGAACACCATCTCTAACCCAATCCTTCTGTCTGCCCTCCAATACCCCAAATAATTCTCAGCCCTAATTTATCCCACAGCTCCATAACGTCCCAGATCCCTCAGTCTTCCTCTCCACCCCCCATACTCTACACCACCATCTCCCTATACATCGTTCCCACTGCCCCCCCCCCATAGCCCGCTACCCATCTCCCCATTGCCGACCCTCCTCTCCCATCAGTCTCATCCGTAACCCCCACGTCTGCTTGCTTGCTTGCCCGTCCGTCCGTCCGTCCGTCCCGCCTTTCCTCCCTTCCTTCAGGAGGCCCCACCAGGCCCACCCCGCCCCGAGGTGTCCTTACCCCGGAATTGCAGCCCACGTCGAGCCCCAGCAGCGGGCGGGCGTCCGAAGGGAACAGCTGCCGCAGGAGTCCTCCGGGTACGAGGCGGAGGCGGCCCTCGGGCGGATGGAAGCGGGAATAATTGGGGAAGTTCCCATAAGGAGCGGCGCCGGGCTCAAAAGCGAGACCCTCCTCGTTCGTGGGCGCCGCCATTTTGCCCCGTGGTTGTGCGCGCGCCGGGCGGGAACAGAGGGAGAGGAGAAAGGTTCCGGGAGAGAAAGGTTCCGGGAGGGAGATGTGCGCATGCGCAGAGTCTCATTGGGTTGGAGGTTTGCTGCGTGGCAGTGGGGGTGACAGAAAAAGATAGAATCATAGAATCATGAAGGTTGGAAAAGACTTCCCAGATCATCCAGACCAAGCCCAGCCCGGCTCACCATACCCACAGACCATGGCCCCATGTGCCACCTCCCCATGGTTTCTGAGCACCTCCAGGGATGGTGACCAGATTTTATACAGAAAAGAGCACACCTGTACAAGCCATGTGCTGCAGCCCCTCCGGGATGTCCTGCGGGAAACAGAGTAAGAAGCTTTACTAAAGTCTAGGCAGTCTGTATTCATAGCCTTGCTCTCATCCACCAGGTTGCCTGGTCATAGAAGGAGACCAGGTTGATGAGGAATGACTTGCCTTTTGCAAACCCATGTTGCCTGAGCCTGAGCCCTAGTTGTCCCTACATCTCATCGCAGTCAAGATGATCTGCTCCATGACCTTCCTTCTGTAGTTCCCCAAATCCTCCTTCTGACCCTTCTTGTAGATGGGCGTCATGTTGTCAGGTCTCCATTTGTATGGGACCTCCCCAGTTCACCAGGACTGCTGATAAATGGTGGATAGCAGATCAACAGCCGCCTCTGCCAGCTCCCTCAGTGTCCTCAGGTGGATCCCATCCAACCCCATGGACGTGCGACACTTCAGATGGAGCAGCAGGTCACTGCCTGCTTCCTCCTGAATCATGAGGGGTTTATTCTGCTCCCATCCCTGACAGGACCACAAGCAGGGACAAGAGGACAACGTCATCCTCCTTTAGTCCAAATGAAAACGACACTCCTGCTACGTGCACAGCCACAGCCATCCTATTCTAATCTTTCCAAATCCAACTGAGTGAAAAGTGGAATTTGTAGAGATTTTACCTAAAAGACCACTTCCCAGGCCCTGTCACACCAGAGCAGGCTGAAGAGGTGCTCAAGAAACATGAAAATGTGGCAATTAGGGAGAAGGGTTTTGGGGCATGGTGGTGTTGATTCAGTGATTGGACTGGACGACCTTAGTGGTCTTTTCCAACCTGAGTGATTCAGTGATCCTATGAGTGGGCATGGTGGGGATGGGCTGATGGTTGAACTCAGTGGTCTTAAAAGTCTTTTCCAACCTTAACAATTCTGTGATTTGATAGGCAAGCAGCCAGTGGGAGGTTTTACAGCAAGAAAAATAAAGGCCTTGGTAAAAAAGGAGTGAAGAAGACCCCCAACTGCATCACAGGGGAGGTTTGAGGGGAAAGCTGACAGGGAGCACAGGATTCATTTTAGGCAGTGATGTTGTTTTTTTATCACAGCACGAAGAGCAGAGGGCGCCAGGAACTCAAGAATCTGGGTGCACACCAGAGCCAAGGTTCAGCCCTGACTGAGTTTTGCATTGGGTAAAACAAGCAGGGTTGGCAAAGAGTCCCACTGTCCTGAACACAGCTAGAAGATGGAAGGGAAGGAAGATGGGAAGGGGAGCAAAAATAAATATTTCACTCTTCTTCTGGGAGAGAAATTTGTATTTATATACTTCAGGTTTCCTCTGACTCTCTGTCTGCATTTAGACCCCTCATATTCCTGCCTTATTTGCTGTAGGCATAGGAAACAGCTCAATGCCTTCCTCTTCTGATATCCTTCAAAATGGGGTCTGTCTCCTCACCTTCTTGCTTAGAATCAGAGAAACATTAACATTGGAAAAGACCTCCCAGAGCATCCAGTGCGACTCCGTCCCACCCCACCATGCCCACTGACCACATTCCCACGTGCCACCTCCCCACAATTCCTGAACCCCTTTAGGGGTGATGATCCCACCACCTCCCTTGGCAGCCTGTGCCAATGCATCACCACTCTTTTGAAGAAGAAATCATTTCTAATATCCAACCTGCACCTCCCCTAGCACAAATTGAGACCATTCCCTCTGGTCCTATCACTGTTACCTGGGAGAAGAGTATCCTCCTCTCCCACATCCACCTCGAATTGGTCCTACTGTGTTTTAGGCCAATTGCTGTTTGCCCTATTGCTCAGTCCAGTGTTGAAGTTTGGCTGAATCATCAGTCTTTTGTTTCATTTACGTTAATGACGGGAGCAGACAGCGATACCTCATACAAAAGCTCACAGCCACCTCACTCTTTCTATGGCAATGCTTTGCTTCAGTTATTTTTCCACAATCACTATCCCACAGCAGAGCTTAAGTTACCCAGAACAACAATGCAACATCTTTTCTTGCTGCCAAAAAAATGCGTCTGTGGGCAGGAAAGCCCATCTGGGCCCTATCTCACTGTTTAGCCACATTTCTTGGGAAACAAATCTCACACCTGCCTTTTGGGCACGGCTCCTTCTAAGAGGCAGAGATCTGTTGCAACAAGATGCTGTGCTCGGCATTGCTCCGCTCTGACAGCCACACTAATCAGCCCTCTGTGGCTGATGGAGAGAGATAGGAGTTTTCTCCGCCCACTGTAGGCATTAATTTACATCAGGTGAATTGCTCTCTGGAGGCTTTTATTTTTCCCACTGGCTCCGGAGAAGGTTTTGAGTGTCAGGTCACTCTCCAGAGACAGTGGGAAATGCTCTCTGTGCATTTGCTTGCAGCACTTGCTTGCCTCTGCTTTGTTGCTTTGGAATCCTACATCAGCTTAACCCATGTCTAAGAGAGTCTGCTCACACCCAAGGAGTCCTCTGGCTCTCAGTTCTCAGATACTTCATGCACAGTGGCTGTGCTAAAGCCATGAGCACTTTATTGCTTCACATAGGATGCATTCTTTGGCCATAAGCAGAGAAAGAGCAGTCAGGTCTGCACTAAAACCTTGAACTATGCCACGTCACGCCGCAGTCCTGGTTGTGTTTTCCATTTCAGCTGTGCAACCAAACCATCCATCAATATGGCCTCGCAACAGAACAACGCTAACAGTTTTGCAACAGTTTATTAGCAACGTTTGGAGAAAATACAAAATCCTATTTCTGAAACTGTAAGAATGGGTGGACAAAAGGAGCGCGGGGATACAGAGCCAGGGGCCAGGCAGGGAAGGCCTCAGATAAGGAACATTCACATGGCGAAAGAGAAGCAGCCCAGCACCTCTGCTGTGCAGCAGGGTGAGAATCCAAGGAGGAACCCAACGATGGCTGTTCCTCACCCCTACCCTTGTGATGCTCAGCCCTGTGGGGACTTCAATTTTCAAGTGATCTCTGTCTGGCTCGGGTGGGCAGTAAGCTGTGGGGACAGCACGGAGAGGAACCAGGACACATGCAAAAAGGAAGCCCTGCAGAGGGACATACAAGTGATCCCTGCTGAGGTGGGCTCGAGATGGAGCAGATGCCATGCAAGCTTTTCCCACATGGGAGCAGAAAGCCAGGAGAGAGCAGCAGCAGAGTTACTCTACATCAGAAGGAAAAAGAGCAAGAAATCCAGAGTGGGCTGCAGGTTTTTGTTCTCCTCCCCAGGTCTGATTGCAAGAAGTCCCAGTGCAGGAAGAGGGCTGCAGAGCTCCTGGTTTGTCCTCTTCCAGGGGAATTTTAGGACTGCTGTTGAGTCAGGACTCTTCACATTATGCTCCTTCCTGAAAAGCTGGAAAGCAGAAATTCCCACAAGCCGCCTGCTATGAGCAGAGGAAGCTGCATAGCCTGTCTGCTAAGGTGTTGCAGAAGTGCCTGCGTGGGTTTGAGTGAGGAAAAATCCCTGTCTGAACTTCTACTTCATGAACTTTTAGGGTGCCTCCCATGCTGTCTTTTCTCCCAATTCCTCCTGCCCAGCAGCTCACAGCCCTTATTTGGTCACTATATGTGCTGCAGAAAACAGGGACTCGTGGACTTCGTGCTATCCTTGTAGCATTCCTTATCCCCAAACCATGGTTGTTTTTTCTCGAAGGGAGAGATGAAAAACATCAGTTCTGCTCCTGCATTACCAACAAGGTCAGTACAGCTGCTGAGGGGTTGAAGCATTATTGTTTTATTGACTCTTGTACAGTAACTTTCCTTTTCCTCTGCCCAGCTCGGGGCACGGAACACGTGCAGTGGGAGGATGCAACATGTGAGGGGTAACAGCTGGGGCAGCAGAAGCAGAGGAATGTGCAGCACAGAGCATTCTGGCAGAGCCTTTCTCTAAGACGTGGGGATTGCTAGAGGCAGCCCGGTGACGCACTTGCACCAGCATTCCAGGGAGATTGAAGATACGGGTTCTATCAGCAGGAAGGATCGCTTTCTAAATAAGAGCAAAAGGCCCCTTATCTCCACAGGGAGCTTTACGGCTAGAAATTAGCCAGCCAATCCCCAAACAAGGGAACGTGAGCAAGGGGAAGATGGAAATTTACCTGCGTGTGCTCTGCTATCCCTGTCTGGAGAGGGCAGACACCTCTTTGTAGCCAACACCAATGTCACTGTCTCAAGCAACGGGTGTCCACCCCCTGTCTTTGGGTAACAACCACTTAGGACCGTGGATCTCAAGTAACCAAGACACTTTCATGAAGGCATCAGGCCCTTGGGATGGATCACAGCACTTCAGACACTCACATCCCATGTCAGGAAGGCTCTGACACTCAGTCCCTCTCTCTGCTGTTCCCTGCTAACAACTGACCCATGGGATTCCAGCCTACCCACATGAAGAACGCTGACATCCCAACCTCCCTGGGTTGGGAGATGAGACCACACCAGTGGTCCTACTGTCTGGGAAGGAAAAAAATGCAGCCTCATCCCCTCTACCAGCTGCAAAGGATACAGAATTCCCCCTGCAGAGGCATTTGGAATGCCCCCAAAGAACAACGGGTCCCTTTGAGCCTGGCAGGCTGACTGTGGGACATCCAGACTATGTGATCCCCTGCTCAGT